CTCAGGGGCCCAGGGTAAGTCAGCCTCTCTGAGTGAGCCGAGGTAAGAACATCTACTCAAAAGGTTGTTATATTGATAAGATCATGGGGGTAGAACACTCCCCTCCATTATTAGCACTAGCACTCCACAGGTAATTTGGACTGCTATTCTCAAGGGAGTTAATAGTTAACTTTAACCTCTGGTTTCCTTCCTCTTTAGACATCTTCAATGCGTGTCCTCTGGGTTCTGGACCAGGGCCAACTCACCACCCCTCTCTTTGTTTCCTCCTTCCACAGCTTCCTTCAGTAATAAGTTGGTCAAAGTCAGGAGCCAACCAAAACTTGCAGGGATGATGACAATAATGTTGCCAGGCAGAAGTGTTCACAAAAGGGTCTGAAACTGGCTCAAGTCTAGCGTGGCCTGAGCACACAGGGCCAAGCCAGTTTTAGAAGCAGGAAGTTCAGAGAGTCCCAAAGAAGTTGGATCCAAGAAGAAACAGACCAAGGCACATCATCATTACATTAGCCAAGATTAAAATGAAGGAGAGAATCCTAGAAGCAGCAAGAGCTAAGGGGACAGTCACCTACAAAGGAGTCCCCATCAGACTGTCAGTGGATTTCTCAAAAGAGACTTTACAGGTAAGAAGGGGCTGGAAAGAGGTATTCCAAGTCATGAAATCCAAAGACTTACATCCAAGATTGTTCTACCCAGCAAAACTTTCATTTAGAATGGAAGGGCAGATAAAGCACTTCTCAGATAAGATCAAATTCAAGGAGTTTGTCATCACCAAGCCCTTATTATATGAAATGTTAAAGGGACTTATCTAAGAAAAAGAAGTTAAAAAAAACATGAACAGTGAAAGGACAGCAAACTCACAGTTATTAACAACCACACCTAAAACAAAAGCAAACTAAAAGGACAGCTAGATCAGGAGTGGAAACATAGAAATGAAGATCTCAAGTAGGGTTAGCAACAGGGGAGTGGGAGGAGGAGAAGGGGGGAGAAGGTACAGAAAATAAGTAGCATAGACAGTAGATAGAAAATAGATGGGGGGGCAAGAATAGCATGGGAAATATAGAATCCAAAGAACTTGAGACACATGGTCATAAACTAAAGGGGGGGTAATGGTGGGGATGGGGGAGTAGGGTGGAGGGGAATGAAGGGGGGGAATAGAACAACTGTAATGGCATAATCAATAAAAAAATTAATTAAAAAAAAAAAGAAGCAGTAGCTGAACTAAAAGGAAAACCAGACGTGGATTTGACAAGGGGGCACCCTCTCCGTACACTGAGCCTACGCTGGGTCTGCAACTCACTGGGTGGCCTGAGCTCAGAAGGTCCCACCTCCCCTCTCTGCAAACTGTACCTCTAAAAGTGGGCCAGATGGTAGTCAGTTCAAAATTTGAAACCAGACTAGTCCTGGGTTCCGATTCTGGCTCCAATATTCACTAGCTGTGATAATTTAGGTAAATCACTTACCAAAATGAGCCTCAATTTTCTCATGTAAAGAATGGGATAATAAAAGCACTTGACTCATAGGGTTACTGTGAGAATCAGCATTGAAGTTTAGCATTCAGTTGTGTCTGAAATTACCAACAGTAGCTGAGAACTGGTAGCAAGTACTCAGTGAACAGGAACTATTATGGCTATTGTTATTATTACTGAGACCCAGAAAGAAGCAGTGATTTATCCAAGTCACATGTGACAGTACAGAACCTGGACCAGAATCCAGCCATCACAAGAGAGCTGGCTGGCCCTCCTAGTCACAGGATTCCGCAGGATTTTCACAGGTCATTGCTTCAATGGTCTGTCCCCCAGAAGGCAGGTCCTCATGACATCTCTGAGTGCCTCTCTCAAACCCCTTTCTGCCTGGCAACAACTGACATCATCACAACTAGCTGTGTGTCCCAATGTCCCAATGTTTCACAAATTACTTTTTGTGGATGGGGAGCACGGGGGACATTGGGGTAACTACACTGGGGTAATCTAGCCCCTCCCCTTTCAGAAAAACACATTGGTGAGGCCATCTTGAGGCTGGGAGAGGGGCACGGGGGTCCTCTAAGTGGCCCCTTGCTGCAAGGGAGAGGGCACAGGCCGAACACAACCCACATCAACCCTCAGACCTCTCTAGAAATTTAGCCAGAGCCTCCCTTGCCCTTTTTTGACCCCCTTCCAACATCTTCCAAAACCTCCTGTGATGGCTGATGTCTCGTCTGCTCTACAGACACCTGCAATACAATCCCCTTGGTTCGAACACGCGTGCCCATCCACGGTTATTTGGAAGGAACTCCTGCGATAAGCTGCCCTATCCTTCTTTTAGGAACTTTGTTTCTCCATCTAGTATGCGTAATATTTTAAAAATCTATTCCAAGATTTCTAACCTAGGGTTCATGGCCCAGCCTCACGAGAAGCCCCTGATACTGTGTGAAACTCTAGGAAGAGTACAGAGCTCTCTTCCAATTTTCAGAAGAGAAGCTCATGATGTAAAATTAAAACCCCTGCCCTAGAGGAGCTCCCTCATGTTACAGGAGGGAGAACTGAAGCCCTGGGCAGGCCAGAGATGTGCTCAAAATTACCCAAACGTTGTTAGGGTCACAGCCTAATTCCATACCTCCTGCGACTACAGTCTAGTGCCCCTTCCCCAGCACCTCCACACGTCTGTGCGACCTGGGATGTGCGTGAACTCTTCTGCTGCTCCCACGTACCTCTCTGGGGCTCCAGGGCGCTGGCTCAACATGGGCAGCTGCTCATGGTTGGAGATGAGGTCACGCTGGTCATCCATAGTTCTGGCCTCCGGTCTAATCCAAGCCTCTTGCTGCCGCTGCTGCCGCTGCTGCTGCCTGTGTATCTGAGACCCTGAACTCCTGGCTCACCTCTTGAAGTTTGGGCTGAGGAGAGATCTGATTCGTCCACAGGAGGCCACTCCACCCACCTGGCAGAAGTGGAAGTGAAAGCCACAAAGCTGGAAATACCCTGACTTGAGCAGATCTGCCTTTGATGGGGCAGGATCAGGAGGGGAAGCTCCTCAGGTAGGTGGAAAGGCCAGTGCGCTCCCATTGGCTATTGAAGGCCCTCATCACTTGTTTCTGAGCAGACCTTTGGATTCATAAGGTTCTTTGGATGTTTCTAAAAACATCACTCTCTAGACAGGAAATTATTTTGAAGCAGAAAATGCCTTTGTCTCCCCTTCTCACCCATAGATACGCAGGTACAGAAAGGAGCTTCTCACCCTCTGTGAGCTCAGCAAAATCCCTCTCCATCTCTCTGGCCTCAGCAATGTCATCTCATAATCAGGAAAGGAGAGTTGGACTGACTCAGTGTTTCCTCCACTCCCATCTAAGTCAGGCAGTTCATGAACCAGAGTCCATAGCTTTAAGGCTCTAGTATTAATACTCACCACCATGTACTAAACCCACCTTTGTGCCAGGCCCTGTGCTAACTGGTTTGCATACTTTGTTCCATTTCATCTTTATAGTGACCCTTTGAGGACTGTTTTATTATCTCCATTTACAGATAGAGACCTGAAGGGCTACGCACACCCAGGAATCGGTGCAGCCCATGTTTTTAACCTTCTTCCCTTCTCCCTCCCAATGCTCAGATTGTGTGGCTCAAATCCAGGAAGGGGAAGGAGGGAGGAAAATAAAAGAGAGGGAGAAAGTGCACCCAAAGGAGATTTAACTGTGTTGGCAAGGTTTTATTTCTTATTTTCTATGGCTTATACGCCATATTCATTTTGTTAATCTTTTATCTTTTGTGTGTTTTTAAATTTTTTTTTTATTTAAAGACTTTGTGGTTCTAAGATTCAGTGAATCTTAAATTGAAGAGTCAGGGAGATAGTACACACACACACGCACACACACACACACACACGTGTGTGTGTCAGGGGAGGGAGAAGAGCAGACATGGCCTTTGATGCAGACAGACTGAGTTCAAATCCCAAGTCAGAGACATCCTAGCTGTGTGACGTGAGCCAGTTCCTCAACCTTTGTGTACTGTTTTTCCCTCTGTAAAGTAAGGATATTACTATCAGCCCTAAACTGGCAGAGTTATTAGATTAAATAAGCATTTGGCACAGAGGCTGGTGCAATAGGAGATGCTCAAGTAAAAAAACTGTTATTATTCAAATATTTACTATTAAGATATTTTTCTGCCCTGATTTCAAGTAATACTATGATTCTATAATAATCAAAACAGCATGCTACTGGCATGAAAACAGACATATAAATCAGTGAAACAGAATACAGAGCCCAGAAGTAAACCCTCACTTATCAGGTCAATTAATCTGCAACAAAGAAGGCAAAAATATACAACGGAGAAACGACAGTCTCTCTTCAACAAGTGATTTTGGGAAAACTGGACAGACACATGCAGTAAGTGAAGCTGGGCCACTCTCTTACACCATATACAAAAATAAACTTGAGCGCTGGCTGGTGCGGCTCAGTGGATGGAGCGCTGGCCTGCGAATCAAAGGGTCATTGGTTCAACTCCCAGTCAGGGCACATGGCTTGGTTCCAGGCCAGGTCCCCAGTAGGGGGCATGAAAGAAGCAACCACACATTGGTGTTTCTCTCCCTCTCTTTCTCCTTCCTTTCCCCTCTCTCTAAAAATAAATAAATAAATTTTAAAGCAAATAAATAAATAAAATTAATTTTTTTAAAAGAAGTGAAGTACTGATTCATGCCACAAAATGAATCTTGAAGGCATTATGCTAAGTGAAATAAGCCAGACACATAAGTTACACACTGTGACCCCACTGATGGGAAATGTCTGGGCCGGAGGAATCCACCGGGACAGAAAGCAGCTTAGTGGTCGCCAGAGGCTGCGGGGAGGGGTGGGGATGACTGCCAATGGATAGGGCGTCTCCTTTTGGGGTGATAAAAATACTCGGGACTAGTGGTGATGGCGGCACAATTTTGTGAATATACAGAAAACCACTGATGTGTATCATTTTAAAAGTTTTATGATATGTGAATTATAGCTCAATTTTTTAAAGATGTGGTAATGATGGCTGGAACAGACACATACCTTTGCTTCCTCTCTCACTTTGCTTCTGTCACTAAATGACAACCACTTGTGGGGTGTTTGTTTGTTTTTAAAGTGTAAATCTGTAAGGACAAAGAGAACAAGAGATGAGCAAACAGCAGCAGAATTCTAGAAGCTGGAGAGCAGACCCCAGAAGGCTGAATCCTAGACCTGCAGCTAGAAAAGCTAACAAGCCACCTACTTTCATGGCAGGACAGGCTCAGAACTTGGGTTGCTAGGCACCTGGGGGGAGTCAAGGTGGGGTTAAAAGGAGGCTCGGTTGGAAGTCCGTCTATAAAACAGTTGGCTGCCTGTGTCCTCTCCCTCCCGTCACCTGAGAGGGAGCCGGAAGTTTATCCGCACTTCATGGGCCTGGTACTAAAGCTGAGAGTCTCAGCCTTTTCCCCAGCCCAGTTCAGCCTTCTCCCTCTGGCAATAAATGGGGGGGGGGGGGGGCCCTTCTCAGGGGAGCATGACCACCCCAGGAGGAATGACCTAAAGCTCAGACATTAGCAGTTCCCCAGTGAAACAGCCAAGACAGCCCTGCAGGGAGCCTCTGTGGGTACTTTCTGCTCACGAGTCACAGCTTTCACTTGGCTTTTTGGACAATCAGGGATCATGGAACATCTGAAGAAACTCTCCAACATAAGAGCGAATGAGCAAAGCAAACAACCAACCACCCAAAAAAGCCCATGGAAGAAGCAAATGGAAACACGGGACCGTACTGCACTCATGAAACCAGAGTAAGAGGCTACAGAGATAAAAGTATTGTTAGAAGAACAAAACCACAGCCATTTAAAATTAAAAATACAAAGGCTGATGTTAAACAATCAGTAGATGGCAGATAAAGTTTTTTGTTTAAGTCTCCCAGAAAGTAGACTATAAAGATAAAAAGAAAGAAAATATGCGAGAACTCGAGGCCAGTCCAGGAGGCCCAACAGCAAAATATCAGAGTTCCCAGAAATAGAGAACAGAGAAAATCAGGGGTGGGGGGAAGAAATCATCAGTGGAGTAACACAGCACAATTTCCAGAACTCAGACATAAATTTCCAAACTAAAAGGGCCTGGTGAGTTCTGAGGTCAAGGTACCAAAATAATTTCTCACTAAGCCACATCATCGTGGATTCAGGAAAAAATAAAGACAAAAAGAAGAGTCCACAGATTTCTAAGAAGGAATAAACAAGACAGATACAAAGCACCAGGAATCGGAATAAGTTCAGACTGTTTCATAGCAACCCTAGAAACTAGAAGATAATGAAGTAATGCCTTCAAAATCCTGTGGGAAATTACTTCCATCCCAGACTCTTTAGTAAGCCAAAATGTCAAATGGGTGAGGGTGTTATTTTCAGTATCCCAAAAGATTTAGTTCTCTCAAAAAGCTTCAGAAAATTATGCTCAGCCAAAAAGAAGGAGTTCGCTGAAAGTAAAGGAAGACCAGGGACACAGAAACTGAAATTCACCTCATAAGAGGAGATGGGGACCCTCAGGTGACAGGACAGAAAAATCCTGGGAGCAAAGGAACAGATCCTTGCCAGAGGCTCTGGAAGGCACGTGCTGAGGAGGTTAAACAGATAGACACCTAATATGCCTGAATGGACTAAGAAACAGATCATTTCTGGAGAGTATGAGGTTGAATTATGATAATTTCACAGAAAATTAAGAAAATGAAAAACTAAGACAACTCTTAACTCTTGGGAAAAGAAAAACTACAGGAAGTGAGTAGTTATCCCTGGATGCTATGCAGCTCGGCTCAGCTACGAACAGTATTCGCACTGTCATAATCGATGACCTTTGCGCACTGACCTAACCGAACATGTGACAGAGGCATAGGGGGGACAGGGGGAGTGACCTGGAGGGACAGAGGGAAAGAGGCCTGAACCATCTTCCATAGTGACCAGCCAACCCAATAGTGTTTAAAACTGAAAAATCGGAAAGTAACAATACCACAAGTTACTCAGAGATATGGAGGCAAGCACCAAAAAAATTGGCTAAACATGTTTTGAAATGGTGTAAAAAGGAAGGTGAGGAGCTGCTATTTTTCACAGCCATAGAAATATGGAAATATTTGATTCTTTAAATATGTGCATTTATAACTTTGATACGAAGTTAAACTTAATTTAAAATAAAGAAAAACATGCCTCAGAGTCTACTGATTCCTAGCTGCAATAACAAAATGGCCGTCTAAGTAAAGCCTTTTACTCTGAGGCAACTTTAGGACAAGACTGAGGATGACCCCAAAGGTCATCCTGTCCTTGCCTGTTGGAAGCTAGAGACAATCCCAGTCAGAAAGGTGGGCCTGAAGACTGCGTTTCCCAGTGGGCTGGACGATGGCTCCCTCCACCTGTTCTAACAGGGCAAGAGGGCTCAGCTGTCAGACGGGCCCCACTGCCCAGCAGAGGAGCCCCATCCCACGTACTCTTCCTGCTTGGGAAGGGGACAGAGAGGCAAGAAGGCAGGCTTGGTATCTGCCACACCCCTGGAGGGGGATACAGAGTTAGGGGAGAATTCAGCTTCCCCACTACATACAGAGAAAGTGCAGCTGAGAGAGGGGAGAACTGGCCGAGGTTACAGGGCAAGGTCTCGCAGAGCTGAGACCAACGCCTGCAGCAGGACAGGAGTGTTGACAAAAGAGCTCCGAGGCAGATTCCTGGATTCACATCCTGGTTCCCAGGTGGCAGCTGGCAGAGCTGAGGAGGGGAGAATACAGGCAAGTCAGAGACATCACTTTTCCAGAAAGCAATAACACGTCCAGAGATTACTGGGATCTGTAAGGACTCTGGAATCAACCTAAGGGGGCACAGGCCAGTCAAACATAGGACAATTGCAGCATTACTTAGAATAACTTACCCTGCCTCTTTAGAAGGATGTGTAATTCAACCCCAGTTGAAGAAATCTCTTCTTTATAGAAGAATGCAAGCTAAATATATGTTAGGGGGAAAAAGATGGAAAATCAGGACAGGCTGGATGGGGACACATTTTGTTACAAAAGGCCCTGAATATAATGATATAATACCTGTTTCTGGAAGGAGACTAGCTGCTCTGCTCTTTCCCATCTTACTGAACAGGGGCAGCTGAGCAAGAAGAGAATCTGAGTTGCCCAAGGTCCGGTGTTCTATAACCAGTTCAGGATCTGGGACCCTTCCCCAGGGCAGGGCGCCATCTGGCAGGTAGGTCAGTAGCATGGCCTTTAGACACGCAGTCTCCCGTAGTGCAGCTGAGCACAGCGGACTGCGTCCTCCCCATGACTCATTCATCTAACAGGTATGATTCGAGTGCCAGTTCTGGCTCAGGCACTAGGATACAGGGGCATTTGGAGACACCTGGCAAGGGCTGAGCCCAGTCTCCGGTGGTGCAGGAGTCAGAACTCAGTCAAAGTCCAGACTACCAAAGACTGTGCCGGGCTTAGGGTCGGGGGTGGTAGGGTTCACTCTGTGGCTGGGGTCAGATCTCAGCTTGAGGCTGGAGGCAGGAAGACCAGTCAGGAGGCTCTGGTGAAAAGTCAAGCCGGAGAGGCAGGCCTGATGGAGGCTGTGGCTGGGAGCGTGGAAGTGGGTGAAGAGTAAAACTGTCAGACCAGTCCACACGACTCAGGCCAGACTAGATGCAGAGGGGAGGGGGTGATGCTGCTGAGCTCTCCTACTGGGTGAAGGAGAAAATACATCACTCACAGAAAAAGGAAGTTCTTGGCACATTTGAGGAACAGAAGAAAGTGCAGTGCACCTTAGCGCAGTGAGCAAAGCTGAGCGGTTTGGGATATTGTTGAAGGACGGGCCCAGGCCAGGCTGTGAGGCCTCCTAGTTGCTTGGAGTCACTGCAAGAACAATGGGAAGTCAATGGAGAGTGTCGGGCAGGCAGGGACTGGATCTGGTTTATGTTTTAAGATCATGTATGGCATACAGATGTAAGCGGGCAGGAGTGGGAGCCAAGAAACCAGTTAGAAGTTGAAGTAGGGCGACTTTCAGGTGGTGGCGGTGGTGGAGAAGTGGACGGACCCGACAGCTGTTTTGAAGGTAGAAATGTCAGGACTTGCTGTGGGAATGAGGTCAAAGATGGTGTCGGGCTTGGGGCACCAATGTACAGTGGATGCTGGCATTCACTGAGATGGGGAGGACTGGAAGAACGCGTTCCAGAACGGGCAGACTGTGGAGCTCTGTTCCAGCTGTACTCGGGTGATACCACGCGTAGACAGCTAGTAGATGGGTGAAGATATTGGCCTGAAACTTAAAGAATAAACATATACACTTGTGAATGATCAACCTGCACACAATAATTTAAGGCCACGGGACTAGGGCTGTGCTCTGGGGACTCTCAGCATTTAGAGGCCAAATGGAGGAGCAGCCCTGACCAGCAGGAGGAGCGGTCAGGGACGGTCAGAGATCCCAGTAAAGTGAAGGAGGGAGTGTCAACCGTGTCAAATACTGGCAAGAGGGCAAGGCAGGAGGACTGAGAGATGCCCATGCACTTGGCCACATGGAGTCATGAGACAAGAACAGGTCTGCAAATTGGGTTGGGAGGTGACTGGGAGGGAAAGAAGTAAAGCCAGCATTTGGGGGTCGGTGTCCTGCCCACCTCCTGCCAGGTGCTTCCACAGAGCTGTCACTCTGGCCTCCAGCTTCCTCCCCAGGCAGAAGTGGCTCTTTTTAAAAATATATATTTTATTAATTATATTTACAGTTGTCCCATTTCCCCCCTTCATTCCTCTCCATTCTGCACAACCCCCCTATCTACATCACCCCCCTTAGTTCATGTCCATGAGTCATAAGTTCTTTAGCTTCTAAATTTCCCATACTATGCTTGCCCTCCCCCTATTTTCTCCCCTCCGTCTATGCTACTCATTCTCTGTACCTTTTCCCCCTCTTTCCTCCTCCCACGCCCCTGTTGCTAACTCTCCATGTGTTCTCCATTTCTGTGGTTCTGTTCCTGTTCTAGTTGTTTGCTTGGTTTGCTTTTGTTTTAGGTGTGGCTGTTAATAACCATGAGATTGCTGTCTTTTTACTGTTCATATATTATTTTTTATCTTCTTTTTCTTAGATAAGTCCCTTTAACATTTCATATAATATTGGTGATGGTGAACTCCTTTAACTCAACCTTATCTGAGAAGCTCTTTATCTGCCCTTCGATTCTAAATGAAAGTCTTGCTGGATAGAGCAATCTTGGATGTATGTCCTTGCCTTTCATGATTTGAAATACTTCTTTCCAGCCCCTTCTTGCCTGCAAGGTCTCTTTTGAGAAATCAGCTGATAGTCTGATGGGAACTCCTTTGTAGGTGACTGTCTCCTTATCTCTTGCTGCTTCTAGAATTCTCTCCTTCATTTTAAACTTGAGTAATGTAATTATCATGTGCTTTGATGTGTTCCTCCTTGGGTCCAACTTCTTTGGCAAGAGAGCTGAGCTTCTTCCTGGACTTCCTGGAAGTCTATTTCCTTTGCCAGATTGGGGAAGTTCTCCTTTATTATTTGTTCAAATAAGGTTTCCACCTGCTCTTCCTCTTCCCCTCCTGGTACCCCTATAATTTGATGTTGGAACATTTAAAGATGTCCTGGAGGTTCCTAAGCCTCTCCTCATTTTTTTTTTTAATTCTTTCTTCATTCTTTTCTGGTTGAATGTTTTTTTCTTCCTTCTGGTCCACTCCATTGATTTGAGTCCCAGTTTTCTTCCCGTCACTATTGGCTCCCTGGTGCATTTTTCTTCAATTCACTTAGTGTAGACTTCATTTTTTTCGTCTAATTTGTGACCCAAATCAACCAATTCTGTGAGCATCCTGATCACCAATGCTTTGAACTGTGCATCTGATAGGTTGGCTATCTCTTGGTCAATTAAAAGTATTGGCTCTGGGGCTTTGATTTGTTCTTGCGTTGGAGCCATTTTTATTTGGTCAGGTCACACCTGTTATGAATGAAGGACGGAGCTTTAGGTGTTCACCAGGCTGGGGAAACCCAGTCTCTGAGTTGTGACGTTATGTGTGGGGGCAGGGTCAGAGAAGGAACAATGGTGCTTGCTCTTCTGCTCTCTCGGATTTCTGTCCCCTCTGCCACTTCCCACAAGCAAACTGGGCCCTTCTGGTGCTGGTTCCTGGGTGGATGGGCTTGTGTGCCTTCTAGGACCCTGTGGGTCTCTCCAGCGAACTCTCCTGTGAGGCTGGGAGTCTCTCCCAGCACCTCAACCCCCACAAGTGTTTTCAATCGGTGCTTTTAGGCTTTATTTCCTGGCACTGGGACCCTGGGTTGTGCAGTCTGTCTCACTGCCTGTTTTTGCCTAGTTTGTCTGCATGTGAATGTGCAACCGCAGTCTGCCAGCCGCCTTGTGCACCTCACTGGGTCTGCTCATTGCCTCCCTGTGTCCGGGGTCTGCCGGCCACCACCTGCTCACCCCAGGTCTGCCAACTGTCACTTTTTCCTGCCACAACCCCTCTCTGCTGGCCACCAACTGTGCCCCTCTTAACGGTCTGGATGAATGGTTGTCAGACTTCTGTACAATTCAATTTTCTGTCTATTGGTTGTTTTTTTGTTTTTAAATTTTTGTTGTCCTTAATTTTGGTTGCGTGAGGAGGCACAGTGTGTCCACCTACACCTCCATCTTGGCTGGAAATCTCAAGAGTGGCTCTTGAGTGTCTGTCCTCCAAGGCAACAAAACCAGCTCCCTGCCAGCTCTTTTCCTGCGCCCAGCACTCAGACCCCCTTCCTCCGCCTGGCAGCTCATTTCCCAAATACTGCCACCAACCGCCGCATCCACTGGGTCTGAGGAATTAGTGAAACTTTCTGAATTACACCAAGTCCCTGGCTCCTGACTTTCATTCCCTCTTGGTGGAATGCTGTGTCTTCTCTTTGATTAAGTACAAATTACTCTGTGTTTTCTCATTTTAAGGTCACAACAGCCCTGTGAATCTAAATGAGATGCATAAATACTAAGTGCTAATAAGTGGTATTAGCACTTTCAGGACTTGAAACCAGGTCTGAGCTGTCTGCAGAGCCCATTCACTTAACTATCATGCCACATTGCCTCCCACAGACCCCTTACTCACTTGGACCAGTTGTTAGTGAAGGTCATGCCTCCTGTGGTCTCTATTCCCTTAGGAAAAGAGGCAGTTTAGAAAGACAGATGGGATTCCTTCCCAATCTTTGTTTCATGTAGGCAATTTGTACCTCCATTAGTCTCCAGATAAGCTTAATATCAGTTCACTAGGCTTCTGTCCTACTCAAGAATATCCTTCTTGAGCATTTCCTAGTGATTTGCTTGTATACCTCCAAAGACAGAAAGCTCATTACCTACATGAACAGCCAGTTCTAGGACAGTGTGGCAATCCAAAAAGTGGACTCCAGCCCAAGTTGCTCTGGCTGAATCCCAACTCTGCTACCTACTAGCATGCCATGCCTCAGTTTCCTCATCTGTACAATGGTAATAACAGCAGTACCTACTTTCTTTTTTTTTTACTTTCTTTTTTTTTAAGATTTTATTTATTTAGTTTTAGAGAGAGGGGAAGGGAGAGAGAAAGAGAGAGAGGAGACATCAATGTGTGGTTGCCCCTCATGCTCCCCACACTGGGGACCTGGCCCAAAACCCAGGCATGTGCCCCGACTGGGAATCCAACCAGTGACCCCTTGGTTCGCAGGCCAGTGCTCAATCCACTGAGCCACACCAGCCAGGGCAGTACCTACTTTCTTATTTCTGCTAGTATGACTGTGAGGATTAAATGCTACCTTTTAGTTGCTTAATGCATTTTTGTTATCAGCATTACCATTATTGGTATTTCCTTGAGGCAGAGCTACAACTCTCCTTACTATAACTTCCATACTTTGCACCTCACCCTGTCCCTTGGCTTTCTATTCTCTTCAGCACTCACCTGCCAGGTATTATTGTTCTGCATTTCTCAATTTTCATTTTTTCCCAATGCCACTTTTTTTCGCAAGCTCAGTTATTCATCATACAAACATGGTTTTCCTAAGATCATGATTTCTCCTTGACAGAGTCCCTGGTTGTTTGCCAGGCAAGCTCAAAGTTGCTAAACACTAATTGGGGCTGGAAGAATGGAAGTACAGGCCCGCTTGCGGGCTCTAGGCCTGGACTTAGCACCCCCACCAGTGGGCCCACTGATAAAACACCCTTACCAATTACTATCAAGGAAGGAGTATGTCAAGTTTAAGAGCCCAGCCCCCAGTGATGTGGCTCAGTGGGTGGGCATTATCCCAGACCGAGGTCACCAGTTCAACTCCCAGTCGGGGCACATGCCTGAGCTGTGGGCCAGGTCTTCGGCTGGGGGATGCGAGGAGCAACCAGTCAGTGTTTCTCTCACACATCAGTGTTGCCCTCCTTCTCTTTCTCCCTCCCCCCCCCTCTTTAAAAATAAATAAATCATTTTAAAAAATAAGAATAGAAAGATTCAGACTCAAGCCAGATGGAGTCAAGTTGAAATTCAAGATTCTTCCGCTTACTTGCTTATGATCTTGGCTAAGACAGTCTCCCTGAACCTTCAGTGGCCTCATCTGCAAAATGAAGACTAGTAATCCTGTCTACTTCACGGGGCGTTGTGAAGATTCGAGATAATGAATATGGAATACTCGGCACAGCCTCTATCTCGATAAATGGTTGACATAAATATCCTAGAGTTATGTTATCTAATATGGCAGCCACTAGCCACATGTGGCAGCTGAAGTCTTGAAATGTGGCTAATTCAGATTGAGATTTGCTCTAAGTGTATAAAATACACACTGGATTTCAAAGACTTAGTAAAAAAGGTAAAATATCCTGATAATTTTTATATTAATGTTGAAATAAAAATATTTGGATATATTAGGTTAAGTAAAATATACTTTTAAAGTTAATTTCATTTTTATAATTTATTATTACGGCCACTAAAAAAACAATTGAAATTACACGTGGCTCAGTTTTATGATAGCCATTATATTTATTTTAGTGCTATTATAGTGGGGTTTTGTGGAAGTTTTTTCTGTTTTGGGGGGGGCGCTTATTTTCCCAGTGCAGGAGAGGAGAAACGGTTTATCAAATTTGGGGGCGTTTGGATCTTACTGGGCTATCTCCTGTAGATGGCATCTGAGCTGCAAGGGCTCTTTGGAAATTATGAGAGCCAATTTCCTCTCTGTAAATATGGGAAACTGGGCACATAGGAAATGGAATATGCCTGGAGCCTCAGGAGTAATAGCAGAAGAGAGGCCGCCCCATCCCAGCAGGCGCTGTGTCAGATGCCGCCCCCTGGTGGTCTGACTGCAGCAAGCTCCTGCAGCAGTTGGCTTCCTTCAGGAGCGAGGCTCTGCTGCCATCTATTGCCCACACCTCTACAGAGACACGAGGACAGGGATGACCCTCCTCTTCCTCCCTGCCAGGCTGAGCACACTGAACCGCAACATGTCAGGGGTATGACAAAGCAGTGATTAAGGGCATAATCTGTGGTTACAAACGCAGGTGTGAATCTCAGCTCTGCTTTTTTCTAGCTATGTGTCCCTGGACGAGTAAGTCACTTTAACTTCTCTGATGCCCAGTTTCCCCCCGTGTAAAATGTGGACAAGAGTCCTTACCTCGAAGCAATTAAGAGATGCCTGAAATCTGAATCAACAAATATTTGCAGAGCACTTCCTCTCATTTACTGTTACCGGTGCCAAGATGCAGCAGTGAGTGACCTAAACAGGCAAGTCTAGTGGTGCTCCAAGTGTGGTCACCAGACCACAGACATCAGCACTACCTAGAACTTGTTAGAAATGCAAATCTTCAGGCCTCTGTGCCATATTTACTGAATCTGAGTCTCAAGGTTGCATCCTAAAGGTTGAGACTCTCTGGACTTGGGGACTGAAGACCCCAAGACACCCTGGTGTGGGTAGTGATAAAATAACAGGAGAGTGACATAATCCCATTAGTTTCAGACCACCCAGCTGCAGGAGTGTCCAGAGATAGGTCAGGGGGGATGGGAAGACTTGTTAGGGGACCGTCATCCTAAGCTCAGGTCAGAGAAAGCAGAACCATAAGTCGGAGGCATCTCTAGGGACCTGGTTGGGTTGTAGTTACTGGCAGCAGCATCAGGCTCACCTGCCAAGGTTGGGCCTCCATTGTCTGCAATGTCAGGTGGCCAACAGCTCAGTCCAGCCTCACCTGCCTCAGTGACCAAATAGGCTGCTACATCCCAACTTAATCTGCAGAAATTAGCTCTCCTTGAAAACCAACCCTGAAAGGAACTGCTTTCAAAGATCTGGCTGATTTTATCTCTGGTTACCAAGAAACAGCAGGCCGAGTTGCAAAGTCCCAACACAGGAAATAGAAGAATGCTCCAGCAACTGCCAGCATTTTTCCACCAGGACTCCAGCCAGCTGTCATTCATGTTGCTTGGCATAAGAACTAAACAAGCATAAGAATAGCAGCTTTTTCAATACCAGGCACTGGGCTTAACTTTAATCTTATCTAATTCTTGTGATTTTCTACCTGCCTCAGAGTCTGAAGCCTAAGAACTAGGGTTTCCATCCAGACCTGTCTACCTCTGAGGGTCTGTGCCTCAGCGACCAGGGCAACAGCAGGAAAGCACTCATTTCTTTCCTGTTTATTTTGCAGTAACTTTAGGTTTACCAAAAAGTTGGAAAGCTCGAAGTTTCCATATACTGCTTGTCCCGTTTCCTGTTAACATCCTGTATTACCATGTACACTTGTCAAACCAAGAAACTGGACCCCAGATCTTACTTGGATTTTTTTTTAAAACATGAATGCCCTTTCCGGTCCAGGACCCATTGCTTAAGCTCCTCCTCTCTACTGGTTTATCATGACTTTTGACAATTCATGTAGTTACTTTGAAGAATGTCCTCTAACTGGGTTATGGGTTTTCAGAAAGAATATGGCAGAAGTGAAGTGTTCTCACCTCGTAGTCAGGTCCCACGATTATCAACATGACTTACCACACTGTTACCCTTGGCAGTTTGGTTCAGGTCTCTCAGAGCAAAGTCAGCATCCTCTCACTTCCATGTCCCATCCTTTGGAGTCACAAAGTGCAGCCCACACTCAAGGGAAGGGAAAATTAACTTCCATTTATTGGAAAGGGAGTATATATACTTGGAATTCCTTTAAATGTACACCTCCATTTATTAAAATCACTTACATCAGCATAATTTTTTAAAAGATTTTATTTATATTTAGAGGGGAAGGAAAAAAGTATCAATGTATGGTTGTCTCTTGTGTGTCCCCTGCTGGGAACCAGCCTGCAACCCAGGCAGGTGCCCTGACTGGGAATCTAACTGCGATCCTCTGATTTGCAGGCCCGTGCTCAATCCACTGAGCCACACCAGCCAGGGCTGCATGGATTTATTCTTTACTTTGGGAAGTAATCAAATTCATTTTTAAGATGAAGACAATTTTAAGGGGTTGTCTTGTTCAACAAAGTTGGCAAAAGTCATGGCTAGACCTGGGTCTCCAGGACTCCTCTAAGTTATCAGAGTTGTGGAGAACATGACCCTTGTATCCAAACGATGAAACATCATTCAGCACTGAAGTACCAGATTCGTGCCACGAGACGAACATCAGAAATGCGTCGTCGTCCCCCCTCTTCCAACCACCCACTGGAGCATCAGGCCCTGGTGGAACACTCACTCGCATTCAGCACCATCTGGTGCCGCTGGGTCTTTGGAGATGGATACAAGCTTCCGGAAAGCAAAACTTTTTAAAATTGCCATTGAAAACAAGACTTGGTGTGTACTTGCGGGGTGACTGAATCTTTATGTACTTTATGTACTGATGTAGAACAATCCCCAAGATCTGCCAAGCAAGAAAATGCGAGATGCAACAGAGCGCCCTACCGGTTTGGCACAGAAGGTGTGGGGGGTTAGTCTGCACCCACATGTGTTTTTACATGGAGTCCGGAAGGCTCCTCTTCTGCTCAGGATGTACTTGGCTCAAGTTTCCACTCCACTCTAGCTCTTTTTAAAGAATCGGGCCATTTTTGGAAGCAACATCTCCGCCTTCAAAACAAGGTCTCCAAAGCTTTGGTCTGCTTTAGATGACCCAGGTAGCTTAATGCCACAAGCAGTGTTACAAAAGACCCAACCATAGCACCGATCTCTCATCTCTTCATCTTAATCCTCACTAGAGGTTACATGTACGGACTTTAGAGAAAGAGAAAAGAGGGAATCACCGGTCAGTTGCCCCCCCACACACACACCCACAACCCTTTGGTGCACAGGAGGATGCTTCAACCACGCCGCCCAGCTAGGGCTCCTCCTCCCAGGAAGCCTATCTGCAGGACACAGGCTCATCTACGGTCCCACGTCAGGGGCTGAATCAAACCCTGTGTTCCTATCTGATAGGTTACATACATCCTAAGGCAATGTATCTACTTAATGTCTGCTGGCTTAGCACGGCACCTGTGATCTCGAGTCAGTCCCACAACCTGTTTAAAGAGAAATGAATTTAAACTTCCCTGGAGGGAGGGCGGCTAGACAAAGGAGAGACAACTGGAGTCAAAATAGTGACACAAAGGCGATTTATTACAATCTGAGACTCCTGCTCACAGACGGCGACCACGGCGACCTCCCTTCCTGCGGGTGCTGTCGGAGGGGATGGGGGTGACATCCTCTGCAGGGAGGAAGAGAAAACATCACTGCCTAGAGCTGGGAGGGAAGAAGCCCAAGGCTCCCTGTGCCAAGGGTGTAACGGGTCAGCGGTGGACCCACTGCGCCCGCAAGCAAGTCCTCGGTACCCAACAGATGGCTCTGAAGCTGCGCCATCTGCTGCTTCCTCAAACTTTCTGAAGTGGTTTGAACTCGCTTTCCAGAACGAGAAGCTGAGGCTCAGAGAGGGTACACAACTTGCAGAGGCTGTCAGAAGCACTCGACAAATCCAGGGTCCTGACACCCTAGCCCAGACCCCCTAGCAGAAAAATCCTCGTAAACAATGTAACTGAATAAATAAAAGGCTGAAATGAGGGATCAGCACACGCTGCCACAGGTGCACAGACACAGCAGAGAAGGGCTAACACCTGTGGCCACACAGAGGCAGAGGATCGGTAGGACTGGCAACCCTGGGAAGTGCTTTGCTGCCCCCTGCCACTGGCTCTTGTCCGGACTGGCATTCCTGACAGTTGAAGGTGCACCGGAAGATGCTGCAGGCTCAGTTCTACGCCACTTCAGCGCAGTGAGCCACACAAACCTTTGGTTCCCTGGTGCCTGTAATACATTTACAGTATGCCACAAAAAGCAGACAACGTGTCTTAAAAAAAAAAAGGTCGCCCTGGCTGGTGTAGCTCAGTGGATTAAGCACGGGCCTGCGAACCAGACAATCGCGGTTCGATTCCCAGTCAGGGCACATGCCAGGGTTGCAGGCAGGTTCCCTGCAGGCCAGTTCCCAGCAGGGGACGCACGAAAGGCAACCATACATTGATGTTTCTCTCCCTCTCTCCTTCCCTTCCCCTCTAAAGATAAATAAATAAAATCTTAAAAAAAAAAAATTTTAAAAAAAAAAGGTCTATATACCTCAATTAAAAAATGTTATTGCTAAAAAAAGCTAACCATCAGATAAGGCCATTAGAAAAATGATGCTGATATACTAGGTCTACACAGGGTTGCCGCAAAGCTTCCACTTGTAAAAAACACAGTATCTGCGAAGCACAATAGAACAGTTTTGCCTGTAGTAGGCAAGGACCAGGCAGGAGGCAGCCCACACCAAACACCAGTAGTAACGTACTTGAGAACACTGTAAAGGAAAGGAAAAATCACCCTGGCTGGTGTGGCTCAGTGGATTAGGCACTGGCCTGTGACCCAAAGTGTCACCGGTTCAATTCCCAGTCAGGGCACATGCCTGGGTTGTGGGCCAGGTCCCCTGTAGGGAGCACGAGCAATAAGCAGCCACACAGTGATGTTTCCCTCCCTTTCACCCTCCCTTCCTCTCTCTCTAAAAAATAAATAAAATCTTTAAAAAAGAAAGGGGGGGGTCATCTCTTAGTTCCACCAGCCACTGTCAGACATTCTGTCACAGGCTAGCAGCCCTTGCAGTCTGCATTACCGAACCTACTGCCGACAGCCGCCAGACTGAGCCCTGTGTCCAGGGGTGCACCACACTCTTTTTCTGGGGTCGATGCTTCAAAGCCAGTCCAAGCATTAGCTACAGGCAAGGGTGAGGGCTGCTTACCAATCCGTCCAATCTTCATTCCCGAGCGGGCGAGGGCTCTGAGAGCTGACTGGGCCCCTGGTCCAGGGGTCTTGGTCCTAGGAACAAAGGTCTAGTCATCCAGGGTTCTAAGATCTCACAGCCCTCTAGTTCAGGAATCTACGAACTTTCCTTAAAAGACCAGACAGTAGGCTCAGTGTGGGCCACTTAGAGTCCACTTACTTTTGTGGCATACGTTAAAAAAAAAAAAGAAGAACGAAACATGAACAGCATCCTCACCCCACAGACCACACAAAAACAAGTGGCAGGCCCCACCTGGCTCCTGGGTCAGGCTGCCCCCTGCTCTGCCTGGTCCGTTTAAGGCGCTGCCCCTCTCAGCCACATGCTCAGTCTGTCTTCTCTGGTGATCTGTCCATGTCCAACTACTCCACCCACACAAGACCAAGAAACTACCATCTCCACACCGGCCCGGTTTAACAGCTTCCTGTCTGGTCTGTTCCTCACACGGAAGTCATCTTTAACAAACCCCAGTTCCACCAGCCATCATAAAAAAGCATGCATGCCGGAGCCAAATCCTCACCAGGTCCTTCGCGACCCAGCAAGACCTCTCTGGCCGCACCACATGCCTCACCTTCCCCCAGATGTAAGAAGTTCATTCCCCTCTCTGACCTTTTCCTAGCAGTTGCCTCTAGCTGGGATACTCCACCGTCCTTCTTTCACTAGACTGACTCTTGGCACAGTTAGGTCTTCGTTTAAATTACACTTCATCACCAATTCATCCTCAGCACTGTACTTCTGTTTCCCAGCACTTGCTGAAAATGGGAGCTGCCCCCTAAATCCCCCGCTGTGCTGTTTAAAGCCTGACTCTAAACAGCTGAGGCGCCAACAGGAGGGTGGGGGTTCCCTTTCCATTTCCCCATCACCCTCTTCTAATACCTGGAACACAGACCAGCGTGCAGTGAGGGTTCAATAAACACAGTAAGTTGCTGGGGGAGGGGCTGAGCAGCATGCAGGAACCAGTTATTGATTATGCATAAACCTAAGGTATCTTATGCAAAGTCACCAGAGAACAGCCAAGCCCAGTGACCTTACCACTGAGGCTTACCGATTGCCTCCTGTGGCCCGGAGCTTGATGTGGAGAGCGGTGATACCCAGCTCCTTGCACCTCTGGGCCACGTCCTGGGCAGCCAACATGGCAGCGTATGGAGAGGACTCATCTCTGTCAGCCTTCACCTTCATCCCACCAGTCACACGGCAGATGGTTTCCCTGGGGACAAGGAAGTACAAGGTCATTTCTCCCTCATCCAACGAGGACTCCGAGGGCGTTTCACATCCTAATGAGTAAAGAGCACCACAGCTGGGGTATGGCAGAGGCTGAAGGTCATCTTGAACAGGCATCCTGCTCTTTGGCAACACTGCCACGGGCTCTGCCTTCATGGGGTTCAAAGACCCAATATAGTTAAACTGTGTTAACACTGTATATTCACTTACTTCTGCATTTAACTCACGGAAACCAAACTTAGAATTTGAGTGACTTCAGATGAATCACAAAAATTTGCTAATGGCTGCCAAAACCTGTACCCAGGGCTAACACTGAATCTGCCACTTCTCCACAAAGTACCAAGAGACACAGGCCTCAATGACCACCACACTGTAAGGGCATAAACAAACTCTCTCCTCTCTTGTAACCCCAGTGCCTGGGAAATTAGTAAGCAACCAACCACGTTTCCGCGTTTGATGTTCTTTTTAATTATTTCCAGAGAACCCCTCTAATGGCCACTCAGCCCCAGGGTTATGTTGTCCCCCAGCCCCTTGCTTAGTTGGCCCTGCACCTCTCCACCAGATACTCACTTGCCAGAAAGGTCAGTCACATGGACAAAAGTGTCATTGAAGGATGCAAAGATGTGGCAGACACCAAATACATTTTCTCCTTCAGCCACCTGAGGTCCCAGGCTGATGACCTGTTCTTCCTTCTTTTCCTTCCCCTTGCGAGGTGCCATTTCTGAAAGAAAATCAAAGAATCCCAAAGTTTAAAAAAAAAAAATCATGCTTATAAAAACGTCCCTAGGCCCTGGCTGGTGTGGCTCAGTGGATTGCGTGGTGGCCTGGGAACCACAGGGTTGCTGAGTCAGGGCACATGCCTGGGTTGTGGGCCAGGTCCCTGGCAAAGGGGGGGGGGGGTGTGGAGAGGCAACCGCACATTGAAGTTTCTCTCTCCCTTCCCTTCTAAGTCCCTAGGGTTAAAAGAACTCCTAACGTTTATTTATACTTTTGGTTTACAAGATTAATACGTTAAAACACACCATCATGTTTTACTGGTTCAATAATTGTGCCATGGACGCACTGCCAATAATCACTCTCCCCACCTAGACTGCCTAAGTGGTAATAAACGGCACATGAGCAAGGGCTTTTCGGGGTGGACCAATGTCTCCCTGGACGTTCTGGGAAGGACCTAATGTCCTGCAAGGGATCCCAGCCAAGTGCCCAAGACGGACATGCCTGGGCCTCCCGCTGCTGGAAAGACTGTGGCAGCTGGGATTCCCAGGTGTGTCTTACTGGAAAATGCCCATTGCAACCCTTCCCTACCGATCCCGACGAGTCTTTTTAAGTCCCACCCCCATCTCTGCTTTCGGGGATAACAAGCACGACAGGTGGTCAGCAAACACCGACGTGCAGTCCGTAACCCCAATTTCTGGCTCTGGGAGGCCTGGCCCTGGACGGGCGCCCAGAACTTGCAGCGTGCCGGACTTAGAAACCACTCAGACTTAGGAAACAGCCAATACAGGGCCGTTTTTCCTGCGTTCCTTCCTTGGATCCTCATTATGACCCTATGGGATCGGCGCGACAATTATTCCTGTTTTCCAGACAAATTAAATAGATATATACGCCTGCCTGCGTCCGCCCAAGAGGAAGCAGGCGGGATAGAGATGGGAGCCCACATCAAACTAGTATCCTCGCTCCTTCCCAACCACGCCCTGCGGCCGCTTAGACGTAGCGGTGGTCGTAATGCGGCGCCAAGGCCTTCAATACTAGACTCGCACTCGCCCCTATTTCACCTCCGCCTCCCAAAACAAGGCGAGAACCTGTGTCTGGGGTCGGTCGGCCGGCCGCGCTCTTCTCGCCCGGAACCTGGTTCGGCTTCTGCGTAAAGACCCCAGCCCCTCGCCCCCCGGCCCCGGAGACCCCCTTTGCCAAAGGATTGCACCGGATTGCCCTCGTCTAAGGAACCTACCTGCTTCTCGGGTCCAGACTCCGCCACCGGAAAGAAAGACTAGGAGAGGGCGGGGCGACAGGTCACGTTCTTGTTCCCGGAAGTGTGTGTCTGAGGTCACGGGGATAGGCCTCTTGGAATGTGCCGCCTTTTGCGTTCCTAAGGCGATTAAGACTTGCACTCAAAAAACAGTTTACTTAAGGGACTGCTAAAGGGAGTAAGGACTGGGTGTACCCGGGAGCTGGTTGGGGACGCCACCACATTACATCTGCTGGGTGAGGCGGGACTGTTTTAAGATGGCGGCCTTCGCGGCTAGAAAACTTCCGCCATTCTAATTCCGGACTGATCAGCTTGGAGGCGACAGCGCACCTTGTGGCGCGGAGGGGAACAACAAAAACAAAACAGGCAATGAAGGGATTCAGCCAAAAGAGGAAAGAAAAATCTCTTAGACACGGACAGCAGTACAGTGATTGACGGACGGAAATGGGGCTGCGGGGAAATGATAGAGGGCAAAGGGGGAATGAATGGTGGAGAAAAAAGACTTGACTTTGGGTGGTGACTGCACAATGCAATTTGCAGATGTTGTGTTGAAACTCCTACGGTTTTATTAACAAATGTCACCCCAGTATATTCAATGAAAGCCCTAACTGGTGTGGCTCAGTGGGTTGGGCGTCCACCCGCAGACCAAGAGTCCCCCAGCTGATTCCCAGTCAGGGCACTTGCCTGGGTGGCAGGCCAGGTATCCCGTTGAGGCACATAGGAGAGGCGGTGGGTCAATGTTTCTCCCCACATCCATGGTTTTCTCCCTCACTTTACCCTCCCTTCTCCTCTCAACAAAAAATGAAAAGATAAATAAATAAACAATCTTTAAAAATAAATTCCATTTAAAAATAAAAACAGGAAATCAGAGTTTGGCATACTATGTACGAGTCAAAATAAGAATAAATTATTCAGTCATAGGGCCAGGAGGAATATCAAATGGCTGCCCAAAGAGAACCTCAGGTTCAGTTCAGACTTGTACTGATTGGACCAGTACAAGTGATGGGACCAGAAAAACCGCACTTGTGAACCATCATCTAACTGGTGACTTTGAGAAGTAGGTAGATACATCGGGTGCTGAGGCCCATCCTCTCCTGTTCCTTACTAACAAGAGGATCTGTTAAGTTCAATGTATGTATGGGCTACAGCTGCCCTGGAGAAATCTGGTGGACGGAGAGATGAGTGTTTTATATACACCCAGCCAGTGTGCATTATAATGTCTGATGTACCTTTGAGAGTTACTTACAAGATTACGCCTAACTGGCGTGGAGATCTGGTAGGAATGTATGAAAACATCCTCATCATGTTGTGTGGCAACAAAGTGGATTGAAGGGTGGGAAAGCTGAGGCAAAGTCAATTGTCTTCCACCCAAAGAAGAATCTCAGTACCATGAAACTTCAGCCAAAAGTAACGACAACGTGAGTTTCGTAACACAGCCGTTTCCTGACTGAGTTTCAGGTATAAGACTGCTTCCGCCTCGTCACAGTCTTCAGTGGTGACACCTTGTTTGTTGCTATCGTTCCCATTCCTTTTTGTTTCGAATCAGAATAAAGCTGTACTTCAAATTTCTAAAAGAAAAAATAAATTATTCAGTACTTATTGTACACCCGCCTGGGGTGACTGATTTCTCTGCATTGCTTCATTTAATCCTCACAGGGTGATCAAGCAGACACTGTTTTGATTGCCCATTTATAGATAAGGAAGTTTAACTGAGATTACACATTCGTGACCGATTTGGGATTCTGACTTCAAAGCATATATGTTTAATAGCTACTTCCATGTGTCCCTCTACAAACAATATTGACGGGCCTTAAAAGATTGAAAGAATGTATAGATGGAGATACAGGGAAGGGCCAAGAAGTAGGTTATATATATTTGTGTATGTGTATATGTGTGTATGTACATATGTGTGTGTGAGATGTGTATAGGGTATACACCTATACATATATAAAGCCCATGGAATGGGCTTTATTGAACAAAATGAGTGATTATGCTCAATAGCATATAGCCCTTTGTGCCCTGGAAGTATTACTACTGAACAACCTCAGCTCAATTTAAAGAAGAACATACATAAATGAAATTATGTTCTATACGCCCCCAGGTAACTTCTATTTTTCACCAACATTATAGACATCTCCCCATAACAGCTAGTAGAGATCTGTGACATTTTTACAAATATTTTAAATTTTATTTATCATGTTGAATATTAAATGCACTCACAAAAATTAAAAATTGCAGTTACCAAAAAGGATACAAACAAAAAGCCTTTCTCCTCTCACCTCTGTCCACAGCGACCCACTCCTCGCCAGCGATCAGAACGCCTGTGCTGAATCATTCTGCACTGCTCCATGATATCCCTTTCTATAGCTGTACCACCAATTTTTTTAACCGGTCCTCCATTGTTGGACATTTGGCTATTTTCAGAATTTGCGAATATAAACAAAACTGTCGAGAACACTGTTTTCAACTGTACTATTCTTTCATTCTTTCCTCGAAGTAAATTGCCAGAAGTAGAAAGGAATAGGTATTTTACATAATCTATATATATAAACTGCCTCCAGAAAGTTCACGTCAGTTTTTACTTCTGCTACACGGAGCAGCTCCGCATGTCTCCTCGTCCTGTGGCTTCCACGTCGGTGAGCGCAGACGTCTCTTCGTGGGCTGTGCCGAGAGTCTGCATGTGTTCCGTGAATTGTCTGTGTGTATTCAGTGAAGAAGAGGGCTTTTTGTTCACAAGTAGAGAGTTTCCCAGTGGAGAAGGGGTGTTAGCAGAGGCTGGAGTCTCATGGGGCGGGTTCCTGCTTCACGTAAGAATTGCATTAAACAACCAGACCGCTAACCCTCAGCATGGAAAGGCCCGGTGAAACGAGCACCGCTCTGTCCACGAGACCGCTTCAGGTCAAGTTCTCCACAGGAACAGCTTATTACCAACCCCAGGAATCATCAAAGTCACTGCCTTCAAACTCCACCGTGATTATCTAATCAACATGTTTATTATTTCTACAAGTAGTTACTAGTTGTGGGTCCTTGGGGAAAAAAATTGTCACCTCCATGGGCCTTTTTTTCCTCCTCTGTAAAACGGGATAATAGCAAGATTTTTTTTCCATGTATATTGAAACACATATCTTTATTGGGCACTTAGTGTTAAGCTCTGAAATACAATAATAATAGATTTCAAACTAAGACTTGAAAACAGAACAGGAATTACCTACATGCAGGGGGCAAGAATGGTCTAGGCAGGAAGAACAGGATATGCAAAGGTCCTGAGGTGGGAAGGCCCTTGGGGAGCTCAAGGAATTCCAAACATGGCCAGTACAGTGTGGGGTATCGTGCACGAGGGAAGAGGCGTGGGAGGTCAGGCTGGAGGTGTGGCAGGAGCCACCTTCTGCAGGGTCCTACTTCCATGTTGCCTTGTTGGTTTTCTCCACTCTACCCCACCCCACGCACCAGGCCGTGAGCACTGGAAACGTGCTGACCACCACTCTCACCCTCGCTCGTTCATTCGGTCACTCTTATTGACCACCTCGTGTGTGTCCGGCCCTGTTCTCGACACTTGGGACACAGTGGTGACCAAAACAGACAATGATCCCAACCCCCTGAGAGTTGACATTTGGCAGGAACAGCAGACGTGATATCTCCGTAAATTTTCTATTGTGTTAGAAGGTGATTGGTACTGGGGAAAGAAGGAAAGTTCGAGAAATGTAAAAGGTATTGGGGGTCTGAGGAGAGGGGTGCGGCAGTCGGCAGAATTGAATAGAGAGGGCAGTCGGGGTGGTCCCGAGTGACAGAGACTGGAGCCGAGGTGTGAGGCCGGGAAGGGAGCAGGCCTCGCCGACGTCGAGAGTGTTGCAGGCAGAGGGGACAGCACGGGAGGGCGGCACCCTAAGGAGGGAGAGGAGCCCGCTGTGGCTGGAGAGGAGGTGAGTGAGGGGCGACGGGCGCTGAGAGGCAGCGGGGGCGGCAGGCAGATCAATCGCGGCAGCCTCCGGTCATCGTGAGGACACTGACTCTTACTCTGAGCGGAGCCATTGCAGGCTTTTGAGCAAAGGACTGCCGGAATCTGCTGTACATTCTTCTTTCTTTTTTCTTTCAAAAATTGATTCTAGAGCGAGGGGAAGGAAGAGAGAAGGAGAGGAGGAGAAATTTTGTGTGAAAGAGAAACATTGATCGGTTGCTTTCTATATGCACCCCGACTAGGGAATGAACCCGAAACCCAGGCGCGTGCCCTCACCAGGAATCAAGTCGGTGACTTTTCAGTTCAAGACAGTGCCCAGCCCACTGAGCCACGCCAGCCAGGTCCTGACTTCTGTTCTAACAGGCTCGCTGTCGATGCTCTGTGGAGGACTCTCACTGGGGGCGTGGGGAGAGCTAACACAAAGGTCCTGGTCAAGAGGGGAAAGAACATATTGGCAGCTGAGACTGAGGTGGCACCAGTGGGGGCAAAAAGAAGTGATCAAAATTGGACTGTACTTTGATCACAAAGGAGTGATCAAAAGTAGACCCAACAGCACTTCCTGATAGCTCAGACACAGGGCATGAGAAAACGAGATTATCGAAGATGGCGTTAGCGTTTACAGCTGGGGGAACTGGAAAGCCGGAGCTGCCATCAGCCGGGATGGGGGGCGATCGGATGTTCGGTCTCGGGCCTGAGTTTGAGATGTTTGTTTCATATCCCAGGAGAGCTGTTGAGGACATGTTTGGGATGGATGAGCCTGAAATCAGGAGAGGAACTGGGCTGGCTGTATAAATGTGGGGGTCCCCGGGGGGTCACCTAGATGGCATTTAAAATGACAAGACGGTGACCACTGAGGGACTGAGTGTTGGCAGAGAAGAGAGCCAAGGACTGAGCGTCAAAGTGTGGGGATGGGACAAGGAGAAATCCAAGGAGAAGGGAGCAGGGAAATGTGCGACAGTTCAGTTCCCTGAACTGAAGGAAAACTTTTTCCTCCTCAGTTCAGGAGGGAAGCTTGAGAGAGGAAATGTCCAAGAAGCCAAGTGAAGAAAGGGAGTCGGGGAGGAGGGAGTGGGAAGCTGGGTGCATGGGCTGAGGTCAAGTAAGATGAGGGATGAGAATGACCCGGATGTAACAACA